TTGATATTCCCTAACTTTTGCAGTCACACACATACACACACATACTGCACAGCCTTCCACAGTTGCAGATAGATATATGCCCAGAGACATATCCACCCACACTGATACAACACCCACACCCAAACACAAATTAATGGTAAAAGAAAGAAAGAAATCTGGCAAACTCATCTACCAACTGAAGTCTACACGTTGCACTCCATTTCAAGTCACTCTGGGAAAAACCAAGTGTGCATGTTTTCACTTATACTTGTGTGTTTTGTATATTTGCACAAGCAAGTCAATGTATATGGAACTGAATAGATGACATACATAAATGCATTACATATTTTGGCACAACTGGCTGTTGTTTTCTGTGCAGTAGGTCTGGAAGGGAAAACTCCTGCTGGCATGTACTTTTTTTTAAAAGGAAACCAACTAAAAAAAAAAGCAAAGCAAACTAACTTGTTTAGGAGAAAAGTAGGAAGTCACACTTTTATTCCAGTTGACTATATCCTTGATTTGTGTGTTTGCATGTGTGTGCCTGCCATAAGCCATAAATATCAGCTTGAATCGAAAAGTAAATAGATTACCAAATCAAGCAAGAGTGTAGATATTACGCCACAAAAGAAGAGGAGGAAAGTTTAAACACACACACACACACACATATTTTTTTTTAAGTCAATCACACAAAGTTTATTAAAGACTTTTATGTCTTTTTGCTACCACCCCCGCATTCCCCGTCTATTTTAAATTGGTGTGATCCCATTCAGGCGATCCCTAGAGTGCCCCTAAACCCCTCCAGAACCACGTCAGAAAACATCAGAGAAGCGGCGGAAAATGAAATAATAAACGGAACATAACACAGCAACCAATATCCCATCAAAGGAGCTGCTGAGGATATTAATATCGACGCTGAATGGAAAATGAGGCACTTAGACATACAAATCGGGCTGGCAAATTTGCATAAAAACAAGATTAGCATATGCACTGACAGGGAGGAAAAATGTTCCTCTGGCTTTTTTCTTTTTGGAATTGGTGGAACTAGTGGGGGTCTGAGATGCATCAGTAAACACCGAGTCTTTACTCACATGTAGTATATTCTGTGCCACATACTTTACAGAGGAGTCACTGATAAAGCTCTCACGAACATGCATACAAGAAGCTAAAAGAACTGAACTTAAAACAAAAGACAAACTTAAGTAAGGCCAAAATGTACTTTACTTTATGTGGTCAACTTTGGGTAAAAGGCTAGAATCTGTTATTATCACTACGGCTAGGTTCATTTAGCTACCTTCACTGTATTCGTAAAAGCGATGCTAATATGGGCTAGCAGTAAACTGAAGTGTACTGACCAGAAAACATGAATAGCAAACTTTTAAACTGCGGACACTGACCCATTAGTGTCCCTTACTATTACTGTATATAGGTGGTAAGTCGTATTTTAGTTTTAATTTTTTTAAAAAAAGGTAACTTCAAATATTATAGTTTTTTTATTAAATAAAAAAAATGTCAGACAGTATCAAATCCCGCGTGCACCTGGGATAGTACACTTGTTGTGCATGGGCCAAAACAACAGAACGTCCCCTCCAGCTCTCGACCAAT